CTGGTAGCCAAGTCCGGAGGGCCACACAGTTCTCGCTGAGGCTGTGGTGCGACCCTAGGTGGCGTTGGAACCAACTCCCCTGGATCCGCTGCTGTGAGTGGAGCCTCCGCAAGTGGAGTGGTCTGAGTCTGTTCTGAAACGGCTTGGTTCGGCTCCACGCTGGCAGTTTGCGAGGGAGGTGTAGGTGGGGCCTCGCCATCTGTACGTGTCTCTTCTGGAGCCGCAAGCGCAGTTGGGGGCACCTCGGTAGTGTCCAAGTCCCCAACCCTGCGCCTAAGCTGGTCTATGTGCCGTCGCCACAAGCGTCCGTCTTCGAGTGCCACCTGGTACGAGCGAGGTCCAGTGACTCCCACTACTGTGGCTGGCACCCAAGGGATGTCCCCCACATAGTTCCGGGCAAAGACCTGGTTTCCTGGGACAAATGACCGTGGTGCGTTGGCACAGCCTGGGGGTTCAGCCACGGCAAAGTCTGGGTGTAGCCGGTCGAGCGGTGACCTGAGGCGGCGGCCCATAAGCAGTTCCGCAGGACTCCTCCCTGTGGCCGCATGAGGGGTGATGTGTTGCGCGAACAAGTATTCGGCGACCCGCTCATGCCAGTCTCCCCGGTCCAGGCGCGCCAGTGCCTCTTTTGTCGAGCGCACCATTCTTTCCGCTTGCCCGTTGCTGGATGGATGAAAGGGTGCCGTTAGGGCATGGCGGATGCCCAGTCCCAAAAGATACCGCTCAAACGTGCCTGACGTGAACTGCGGTCCGTTGTCAGAGACAAGGACATCAGGACACCCATGCGTTGCAAACAGGCCTCGCAGCACCCGGATGACAGCTTCGGTAGTGGTGGAGGGCATCAGGGCGACCTCCAGCCATTTGGAATAGGCGTCCACCACTACCATAAAGGTCCGGCCGTGAAAGGGGCCAGCCAGATCGATGTGCACCCTCGACCAGGGTGTCTTTGGCGTCTCCCAGGTGTGTCCCTTAGCTGCCGGTGGTGCAGGCCTCGACTCCTGGCACGCTTGACAGGCGGACACCCAGGCAGTGATGGCATCGTCCATATTAGGCCACCAGACGTAACACCGAGCCAACGCCTTCATTTTGACAATTCCCGGGTGGCCAACGTGCAGAGCCTCCAGGACGCGCTGACGGAGTCCCTGGGGAATCACGACGCGGTCTCCCCACAGCAGACAGCCGCGATGAGCTGAGAGTTCATGTTGTCTGGTTGCGAAGGGCTGGAACTCCGATGCAAAGGGCCCTTGTGGCCACCCCCTCCACACCCAGTTGAGCACCCGGCTGATGGTGCGATCCTGGGCAGATGCGGAGGCCACAGTGGCAGCCGATACAGGCGCTGCCGGAAGATCCTCAATCAGAAGGAGCGATGAAGCTGGAGCCGGGTCTTCCACAAATGCTGGAAGAGGGCAACGGCTGAGGGCGTCGGCATGGCCCATCGATTTCCCCGGGCGGTGGATGAGCCGGTAGTGGTAGGCAGCCAGGAAAACAGTCCATCGCAGCATGCGTGGTGAGAGGACCGGTGGAGTTGGACGATCACCGGCGAGGAGGCCCAGGAGTGGCTTGTGGTCAGTGATGAGGTCAAAAGTCCTGCCATAGAGGTATTCATGGAACCTCTTCACTCCAGCCACAAGTGCCAATGCCTCCTTGTCGAGCTGGCTGTAATTCCGTTCCGTCGGAGATAGTGTCCTGGAAAAGTAGGCGAGCGGTGCTTCTCTTCCATCTGGAAAACGGTGACTAAGGACAGCACCGATGCCAAAAGGTGAGGCGTCGCAGGCAAGGACCAGCGGCCTGGATTCACTGTACTGTACCAGCACACTGTCTGAAGAAAGGAGAGCCTTGACCGCGTTGAAGGCCGCCGTCTCCCGATGACCCCAGGCCCAAGGCGTCTTAGTGCTAAGGAGTCGGTGAAGAGGCTCAGCCACTGTGGCTTTGTGGGGCAGGAACATGTTATAAAAGTTCAGCAGCCCCAGGAACGCCTGCAACTCCGTTTTGTTCTTTGGAGTGGGGGCCTGCTGGATAGCGCGGATCTTGGATGTGGTTGGATGAAGACCGGAGGCATCGATAAGATAGCCCAGGAACTCTACCTGTGGAACGGCGATCTGGCACTTCTCCCTCTTTACCTTGAGCCCGGCCTCCTGGAACCTGGTCAGCACGGCACGGAGGCGCTCGAACAGCTGCTGGTGTGAGTCTGCAGACACCAAGACGTCATCAAAATATGGTACCACGCCCGGAAGCCCTTGCAGGAGACGCTCCATAAGGCTTTGGAAGATGCCAGGAGCCACACTCACCCCGAACTGCAACCGGCGGCAACGGAATGCCCCCCGGTGGGTGACGATCGTCTGGGCTTCAGCAGTGGCATCATCGACTGGCAGTTGTTGATAGGCTTGGGCAAGGTCCAGCTTAGCGAAGACCTTACCCTCACCCAGGGAATGCAGCAGGTGTTGGACAACAGGAACCGGATAAGCGTGCTGCTGAAGTGCCTTGTTGATCGTGCACTTGTAGTCAGCGCAGATTCTCACCGACCCATCTGGCTTGACAGGCGTGACGATGGGGGTTTCCCACTTTGCGTGGTCAACCGGCTCCAAAACTCCTTGGGCGATCAGTTTGTCCAGTTGTTCGTCCACCTTAGCCTTGAGAGCAAAGGGAACCCGGCGTGGCTTTAGCTTGATGGGGGCGACTTGTGGATCAAGGCTAAAGGAGATGGGCGTACCTGTATATTGGCCCAAGGTGCCGTCAAAAACCTCGGCAAAGTCTTTGACCAGACCCTCAGTCTCTGCGTTAGAGATGCAGTTGATGCCGGTGACTTCCAGGCCGAGGGCATCAAACCAGTCTAGCCCTAGGAGGCTTGGCCGCTGACCTTCGACCACCACCAACCGGAGCAGGCCCGAAAAATCCTTGAAGGCGATCCGGAACCGGCCAACGCCTACCACGGGAATGTCGTTTCCCTGGTAGTCTCTCAGGTGTACGCGGTGAGAGTCGAGTTGCCTTTTGGACACTCTGGGTACCAGTCTTTTGATGGTGCTCCATGACACGATGGACAGGGCAGACCCGGTGTCGATCTCCATGTCACATGGAGCTCCTTCAATGAGCACCGTGACGTTCAGCTTGCGTCGCGTAGGCGAGTCGGTTTGACCAATCGTGGTTCCAGACGGGCAGCGGCAGTTGGTGAGAGCGAAACAACTTTCCTTGGCAGACTGGAGTGAAGACTTGGACTTGCGAGTCGATGAAGGGGGGGTGTCAGACGGAGCCGATCGGCAGACCTTAGCGATGTGGCCCCTTCTGGAACACTTCCTACAGATGGCGTCTCTGAATCGACACTTGGCACGGGAATGGTTGCCTCCGCAGCCAGCACATTCCGGTTGGCCCTTGGACTTCTGTTGGAACTTCCTGCGCTCCCGCTTTGTCTGGTGCACGTCATCGTCTTCACTGGAGGATGCCTCATCACTGCTGGCCTCTTCATGATGCACCGGAACTGGCTCCCTAGCAAGACGCGGGCTGCTGGACTTGCGGATCTCCTGGGCGGAGCGTTCAGCAGCTTCTGAGGCCACAGCCTCCTCAATGGCTTTCTGTAGCGTGAGGTCTGGCTTGGCTAGGAGGCGCCGTTGCAGATGGATGTCCCGGACCCCGCAGACGATTCGATCCATCAGGGCATCGTCTAAGTCTCGGAACTCACAGTGCATTGCAGCCTGTCGCAGGGCGGTGGTGTAGTTGTTGATTGACTCCCCCTCTGCCTGGTTCCGGTGGTAGAACGCATGGCGGGCAGCAATCTTGGACGGCTTTGGTGCGTAGTGGTTGCGGAGCTTCTCTTGGATCGTGTCCCATGGTGTTGCCTGGACTGCTTCAGGCGCAACCAACGCTCGGGCCGTCTCAAACACCTCAGGCCCACAGAGGCTGAGGAATAGGCCCCGCTTCCGATCCTTTGATACTGCTGTCAGCTCGTTGGCTTGGAGGTAGCAGTCGAACCGAGCGAGGTAGGAGTCCCATGATTCAGAGGCTGGCGCAAACGGCGGTAGAGGCACAAGTGAAGCCATGATTCCGATGCCGGCGTGAAGGGCGATGGATGGAACACAGTGCTCTAGCCAGAACAGTCAGCTCTGAATTGGTTCTGCCCAGTGATTTCGCTCAGTGATTTCGCTCTGTGATTCAGCTCAGTGATTCAGCTCAGTTCAGAGGCTGGCCGCATCTGGCTGTGCTCTGATGTCCATCCATCCATCCATCCATCCTCGTCGCCAGTGTTAAGTCGTGGGTTGACATAGCAGCCGGCACAGCGATTTCTTCAAGTAGCTCTTTATTCTGGTAAGCTGGAATAGAACTGACTGCGAACAGCTCAGCCGGCCTGTATTTATAGGCAGCCGGCTGTCAACATTGTAACCACAACAGCCCAGAGTTCCCGCCTAAAATAACTGGCGCGGACCTGAGTGAAAACTATCTACAGACCTGAGTGAAAACTATATACAGTATCCCCCTGTTGGCCCAGGGTGAAACTACACTACATAACACCAAGAATCCTGGGAATCCCAGTTATTAAGGGTGCTGAGAGTTGTTAGAAGTCCTTGCTATTCTGCTCACAATTTCCAGGATGGCTTAACAATCAATTCCTCATCCCTGGGAACTCTAGAAAGGTAGGGGCTAGCTGAAGTCAGACTGAGATAGGTGGGGCAATGCCCCATTTGCCCTAATGAACCTGACTCTGCTGCATGTGGTCATGTAGGGAGACATACAAAGGACCCAGTCTGACACAGCTACTTAGATAAGCAACACTCAATCCCATCAATTTAGTGCTTTTGTTTAACCAGCTATCAGCACTGTGAGGTGAAGAGAGACAACAAGAGTAAAGAAAATTAGGGTAGATGTGCCCTATGGTCTGCATATTAGAATCCCAAATCCCACAACTGGTTACTGTCTGCTTCCCATTTCTGTTAATACAAGCCTTCTAAATTGTTTCTGATCCCTGTTGATTCTCAATCCTATTAAATAACCACTGAGCATTGAATACTCACCAACCACAACCGGCAGCACCTTCATAGCTTTCCTCTCTCTGCCATTGATCTTTGCCTGCTTCCTTTTGAGTCCTTTATGTGGTGGGTATCTGAGGTGTGGGTAGGACACAGTCTGAATCCCATTGGTCACGTAGTCCCTGGGAAAAGAGCACTCGGAGCAGGTATATCGGTTGCGCTCCTCCAACTTGACCTCAGCCTGGTTCCTCTCAATGACGGGTGGCGGACAATACAGTGGCCTGTTGCCCAAGTAGATGCTGCTCTTCAGTTTGGCCTTCCGGGCTTCCTCCCAACGCCTAAGTCCCTGGAACATGGCACAGTACAGGACCAGCATGACAGGGCAAGGAATGAAGAAGGAGCAAATAGAAGAGTACACAATGTAGTTGTTATCCTCCAGCTGACACAATGTAGGGTCCCGGTCTGGAACATTGTTGAGGCCAAAGATGACCGGGGAGGCCACAGCAAAAGCAAAGATCCATGTGGTGGAGATGAGGACCAGCTGCCTCAGGTCAATTTGCCGCCGGTTATAGTTCAGTGGGATGGAGACAGCAATGAACCTGGAATGACAAAGAAGAAGGTGAAGCTGGGAGTAGTTTTGTGGAAGTGAATGGCCTAGAGCATCTCAATCTCTACCATCAGGTGGCCAACATAGTTGTTGCTGCTGACTCCAACTCCCATCACTTCTGACTGTTGGGAATGTTGGCAGGAGATCCAGCAGTGTATGGGGGCACCAAGTTGGCTACCCAAGCTCTAGGAATCCAGCCAGGATGTATGAATGTACACACTATCAGAGGTAAACAGCTTTTGCCTCATTAACCTGTTCTTATATCCTTGACTTTGTTTGTCCTGCTCCCATCAATCTATTCCCTGAAATTTGTTTTCTCCCTTGCTGCCCTTATGCTGGGAAGTGTTTCCTAGAACATCTTACTTCCTTCAAAACCCACCTTTTCTTTGAAGTCTTTGTCTGTACCCACTAGTCTCCATTGCCTGTTGTAGCTTGCCCCAACCTGGTGCCTTCCCGATGTTGTTGAACATTCAACCCCAGTCAGCACAGTCCAAGCTTATGATCACCTAGAGAAGCCCCTTTCAGATGTTATCCCTCCACACACTGAAAGAACAGATGGAGAGGAAAGAAGGTCCGTGGGCACTAGGCCTATGCCACAACTTCCTTGCCAGCACCACACTAGTCTGTCACTTATTGAGTGGGAGATCTGATGGGGGACTCTATGTGTGTTTGGCTGATTGTTTTTCAGGTTTCCCTATGTGATCAGGAACCAGCCACCTTGGATGGATCAAAGCTTCATGTTGGACTGTTGAAACTGATTAAAAAACAAGCAAACCAGCATGTGCTGGACCAATTTATAATATATGTCAAGGAATCAATGCAGAATAATATGCTAAAACTATTTTCAAGTGGATCGCCAAACAAAACAGTAAATTAACACTGGGAAATCTGTATCAATCAATGACCTAAAATGACTTCTGAACAGGGCATATTTGCTAATGGAATAGTTGTATACTAGTTCAACAAAATTATAGCTTTTCAGTCTTTAGACAGGAGTTCTGTGGTCCAGAGGTAATACGGACAGATGCAGGCTCAGCACAAGCTTGGTTGACAGCCAGCAGTCCAGGGAACAGTTCTACTGAACAAAGGCTTTTGCTTTCACAGGACTCAAATTCCTTCTTTCCATTTGTGAAATCTGTGGAAGAGACATAAAGTGGTGCAATTGTATCAGACCAGCCAGCACAACTGACACCAGCACCAACCATACGGGATCAAGCTTCAGCACCAAGATCTCAACCAGCTCAGAGAGGGGACCCTATTCCCTACTGGATAGATCACTGGTTTAACTAGTGGACTGGGACCCATTGCCGGGACATGGCATAATCTAAGATTGGCTGCAGCAGTAGCAACACCATCATACAAATACATGGGTAAAAAGAAAAAGAAATGCGTCCCCAAATACATGTTTGGGTTAAATGTGAGTCCTGGATCTGAAAAGGCTGAAGACTACTGGGGTAGACAGACCAGGATATATCAAGTTCAAAATATACAGTGCCAGAACTCTGGATTGTCTTGATCAATCTAAGGATTTAAAAATGCTCCAAAATATATCAGACCTCCACTCTTGAAGCTACCTCAACAGTTGTACCCTGGGGACAAGGTTTTTAATCTGAAAGTGATGGTATGTATCCAAACTGTATTATTATAGGATGGCAAGTTATTCCAAACGCCTTCTGAGGCCCCTACTGCAGTTCATGTGTTGTTGTTTATGAATGAAACTCAAATCCAGCTGGAAGCTGTTCAAGTGTTGGGATGTGAACACATGAATGTGTGGATAGTGGTGGACAGGAAAATAACGAAGCTGGGAAAATCCCAAAAGCTGAAATCCAAGGCAGGCAAAGGAGCTTACCGATCAACGCTGATTGCACAGAGGTTGAAAATGGAAGCTGTGCACAGCATCACATCCATGGTCATCAAGGCATCGCACAGGACTGTGCTCAAGGACCACACACCTCCCTGAAACTGAAGACAGAGAGAGAGCATCAGCTGAGAGGACGTTCTCACAGCACCAGCCATGACTAAGATGCCTCCCCATATCCTCAAGAGATTCTAAGCTTTCCTCTGCTACTTTTCTCCAAGAAAGTCCTCCTCAGTGGTTGACTAGAGGTCGCCAGAGTGCAACCAGGGGATCTGAGCTGCAGCTTTAACACTACCAATAAAGTGAGAGGTGAAAGTAGCTTCTCCTGCAGGTTCCTTGCTCAATCCTTTCATTCGGCATCCCATGCCCACTGTCCATCATACCCGCAAGTCCTACTTAATGCAAGGGAAGGGGTGGGTGAAAGGAATGAGAGGGAAACAAAGGGGAAGGAACTCTTCCAAAGAGTAGCCATGGCTGTAGTACTGCTTCTCATTTGACCAGTAGCTTTAAAGATGTAAAGCAAATCTCTAGGTAGCAACCTTCTTAGCTCCGGACAGGTGCCATTCCAGCAAAATGCAACCTTGCCTTGGGGTATATAAACCACTGCATATCTCACTTGCTTTGCATCAGAATGGGGGAGATTTGTCCCAACAGGGGTACAAGAGGCCATTGATACACTCAGGTGCAGAGAGAGTCTAATGCAATGGCTCTTTAGCTCCCTGCCCCCCCCAACCCAAGATCAGCTGCAGTGGCACAATACTTCCTTTGTAACCAAGCAACCAACAGTGAGCCCCAAAGCATCACCTCTTCATAAGATAACAGCATCGCAGAACCTTCCTTTTTCACCTTAATGCGTATTAATAGATCTCAAACACGTCTGCAAAATCTGGGATTGTCCTAGAAAGAAAATAAGTCACAAAACCCTGCCCTAATGTCAGCTAATCCTTGCTCTGCCGTTACTATATCTCTCTCTCCGCAATGACGTTGGTGAGGTGGATTATTCGCACCTTTTGGGCTACAGCTTCCTTATCCCTTAACTTTCAAACTGACTTCAGGGTCAGGCTAGGAGAAGGTTAATGTTCTGCATAGCCTCATCAGCTTCCCACACATTTGCAGGTAACGTAAGAGACCCCCAGGTTTGCTACACGCACATAGCACAACTGCTTGTCTAGAACACACAGGTCTCTGTCAAATTAAAAGAATTAATGGAGCCAAGACAAAAGTGTGGTTTGGTTGATATAGTTTTTACTTGTTCTGTAATGTAATAATTTGTTTTTAAAATCATATTGTTAGATAAAAGTTTCGGTCTGTGTAGAAGAGCTTTAGGGAATGGAAAACTTCCTCTTTAGTTCACCAGTAAACCAATTTTCTATGGCAGCCTTCCTCAACCTGGTTTGGACTGCATTTTCTTGGCCTGGGGCTGATGGGAATTGCAGTCCCAAACATCTGGAAAGTGCCAGGTTGGGGAAGGCCCTTGTGTGGGAGGCAGTTGCTGTGCACATGTTAGGATGGGCGTTATGCTGCTCCCTTGCTTTCTGTCAGGACAAAAAGGGAGAGAATGGGCAAATATGTCAGTTTGGGGGGCGTTTCTCAGTTTCTAATTTTTAATTATCGTTATAAATTATTATTAATGTATGTATTACTTGCACTTCACCCCAAGTCTGGTTCTCCACATTTCTACATCAGTTTGCAAAAAAGGAAAGAAAAAGTACTCATTCTAGAGACTCCTCACACTTCCAGAATATGTTCTTGCCAGGAGAACCTAAGTGAAAGAGGCTGCTTTGATGCTCACTCTTATTAGAAATTCAGAATTTCCAAAGCCAGCTTTGAAAGTGATTTCAAAAGTATTTTGAGCTTTTAAATTAATGCACTGGTAAATGTAAGGCGGTGTGCAGTTTGTGCTAGAAGAAATGACCAAAAAATATGTCCCAAGGTAACCCAGCATGAAGTAGGTTAGACTTTGCATGTGTCATATGCCCAGAACCACCTCATGAACTTTCCTTTGCTCAACTGAGGTTTTGGTTTAGTACTTCCCATGTCCAAACTCATCACTTTCTGGTGCTCATTATCAGTTGTAAACCATCAAAGCAATAAAATGATGCTTATAGCAAACTTTCTGCACCCAAAAGGAGAAGAGAAATCCTGACAGCTCAATCCCAGAGATCTTTATATCCTTACCATTGCAGCCCTAGGCTTGGAAATCCTTGCAATAAAAACTGCTGGAACCTGGGCAGCGCTTAAAGGCAAAGTGTAGTGTGGGTCTAGAAGTGAAGCTGCAGACTGAGCCCAAAAATTTAGGGCATGTATAATTATGGAGCTTCAGTAGCAAAGCCCAATGCGGTTTGTTCATCTATAGCATGAGTGGAGAACCTGTGGCCTTCCAGATTCTGTGAACTCCCATCGCACCTGGCCATGGTCCATGCAGCTGGGGTTGGAGGGACCATGAGCATCTGGAGAGTGAGTCACAGGTTCCCCACCACTGACTTATAGTGTACAGCCAACAAACAAGCAGCTGAAGAGAAAACTGCCTAAAGGAGGAAATCTGGTCTCGCTCCTTGCTTTTCTAGAAACCAGTCCAAGAGAATTAAGGAATAAAATGGGCAGGGGTGTGAAAAACTTAATGTGCTTGAAGCATAAATCTTCATTCTCTCTTTTTAACCATTGCATTGTTTCTTTCTTCTCAGCAAATAACAGACTTACCCACATTCCAGCTTGCCTATCATGAAATACCCACAGCTGCCAATTTCATTTATAGTCAACATTTTTAGAAAAGTACTTGGCAAAGACTGGACTCTTTTCTTGGGATTTGTAAAAGAGAAATGGGATCTAATTTGACCCGCATCTGATAAAATAAACAACACAATAGGGTTACATTAAGTTCTATAATTGGTTCTCTTGATAGAGCTATTGTAGTTTTAATCTCACCTTCACACTCCCTTCCTTCTTAAATTACATATTCTTTCCTACACTCTTAAAACTGTTAACAGGCCATTTGGTCAAGTCATTATCTGCCTTTCTCATTCTACTTTAAAATCCTTATGCTATCCTCTTAAATGGGAAAGTAAAAATGGTATAGGCCTAGTTCTTCTCTGAGGTAATAAACCTGTGCCTAGCACTATTTCATTCAGACTGCAGTTGTGGGCTTCAGAAGACCAATTTCCTCCACCACAGAAAACTATTTCTTCCAGATAGAAAACTAGATATTAGAGAGATGGGTTTTAGGCTTCTTCCTGGCAATGTTAGTTTCCTGTGTTTTTTAAATTTATTTCAAAAACATTTTTATTACATCAAAAGTCATGTACAACCTTATTAAGACTAACTTATTGTTCAACCAAAGGGGGATTGCGGGTGGCGCTGTGGTAAAGCCTCAGCGCCTAGGGCTTGCCGATAAAGTCGCGGTTCGAAACCCGGCGGGTGCGCTCGTTGTCGTCCACGCTGCACCTAGCATCGAAGCACTCCGGTAAAGTAGATAAATAGGGACGCACTAGCGGAAGTAAAACTTTCCGTGTTTTGCCAAGCACATGTACGCTGGCCACGTGACCCGAAAGTGTCCTTCCGGACAGCGCTGGCCCCGGCCCTTGAGTGAGATGGGCGCACAAACCCTAGAGTCTGTCAAGACTGGCCGGTACGGGCAGGGGTACCTTTACCTTTTTATTGTTCAACCATATCACAATAATTCTAGTAATAAATCCAAATCTTCAGTAGGCAGCAGCATGTTCAGTAAATATCAATTATCAGGAAATGCCAGGGTAAACAAATCAGTTTTTAACATGCACTTAAAACATACTATGGGCAGTGGGTGCTATATATCCATAACAAGGCTTTTCCATATGCTCGGCGCTACCACCAAAAAGACCCTTCTTCTGGTGGTCTGGAAACCAGGGGGTGGGGTACACCCAGAAGGGCTTTGTTTGCTAATCTCAATGTATGAACAGGTTTGTAAGGGAGAAGATCTCAGATATATGAATGTGTTATGTGGGTTTACAAAACATGGTTACTAAGTAGCTTATTTTGTGCTAACCAGCATTTGTGTTAGTGCCGATGAAATACAAAGCTCTGGCTATCACCAAGAATAAATAGTTTGAAATTGCTTTGGAAAGAGAAGAGAGCATAGGCTCGCAAAGCTGTTTCCTGCTTTTTGAACCATGGCTAAACCACCAAGCATTATCTCTGTCTTTGTGCACCTGCACAGAATTCTGACTCTGTTGCAGCTTCCCCACCACAGGGGCAAAGCAAAAGGACAAGACCATACATACTGTTGTGTTGATCTGATTAACTAAATCTGGCCTGAAAGGGTTTGGATGCAGCTTGAATTAGCAGAGACTAGAAAACGGGTGAAGGAAGAGGCAAGCAAAGGTGACTTTGGAAACGCATGCTACTGTTCATCCAAAAACAACCAGACGATAAAGCCAGATGTTCAGCGGCCAGGTGCCATAAACGGCAACTGCCAAAACAGGGAATTGCACACGCTGAGATAATCAGCTCTCATCTCCACAGGCTCAGCATCTGCTCCTCCCTCTAACCCTTCTCTATTAGGGGGGCAGCAGTGGCTGAACTGGACAGGCGATCAGTTCTGCTGCAGCTTTATTACCTCTGCCCCATTTTATTCTTAACCCAAAAACATTGCTAGGGGAACAGCTGGTTCCTCACTGGCAGCAAGCAATTTGTTTCCCCTCATCTCTCTTTCTTCAGGTCTCCTACAAAGACGGCCAGGTGCAGACAAGTCTAAGGCTCCTTTTATAAATCAGTGATGGTGGTCCCTACTCTCCTTTGCATTCAAGCAGTATAACCAGTGGAGCAGGGCAGGACAGGGCTGAAGTGCCACCCCTTATTTCACTCTGACAATCCAAAAGCAACACAGTGGGCTAATAATATACATACAATACTTTTATATCACTACTGAATTATGTCTTAATTTACAATCAGATAACGTACAATATATACATGGTGACACCAACTAATATAAGTTAAGAAAGTGTCCCAAAGTGAGGGATTTTTAGGCTAGTATAACACCAAGAAGAATCACTCAGGCTTGAGGCAACATGCCTTCCAAGGTAAGTGTCTTATGCAGTGTTTTGCAGGGAGTGAGCTGAAGAATGTTGGT